TCGTAGTGATAAGAGTAGACCAGTCCCTAGTCTAGGTCTATTACAGACTCTTATGATATGTCAAATCTACTGTCAGTTCGGAATGATTTCAGATTCAGTATTCTTTTCAAATGTTTACAATAATACAGAGTCATTTAAATTCATATTTGGGAGAATAGAGTGACCACCAGCATATGCTATTGCAAAAACAAAAAAATCTAATCAGTGTTCGTAACCTGAACAAACAACACCCGTTCACGAGTATGACGTATGAGCCAGCCATCAGTGCACTCAACCATATTAGAGGGAGCACATCGACCCGGCCCACCACGCCGCCACAAGTTTGAACTTTATAGCGAGCATGACTGTTTCTAGTTACTCCACTACGTCAATTATATTACTTACAGCATACTCTGTACCAATCACAGTTCTCACCCATTACAATATTTAAATTAGAGATAATTTTAAGTGTAGTATAAGTTATTTCGAGATATTAAGGTATATTATGGGATATATTATGGTTTCTTAAGATTACATGACACGCCTGGTGTTTCAGGCGTCCATAGGCTACGGTAACCGTTTACCATCAGATGGGCCGTATGCTTGTTTGCCACCTACATGGTATAAAAAAAAATTGTTAATAATATTACATCTTTAATGTATCTGTATTGCTATGATGAAAATTTTGGGTGAGGAAATAGTTTCTTAAAACTCTTTAAAATTTCTTCATTATTGTCTTTTATATTGACACTAGTTTCTTCTTGCAAAATATCAAATTTTCTAGAATATTTCCATATATAGATTATGTACTTTATTTGCAACACACAATAAAGAAAAGACAAATAATATATTAAAGAATAAATGTATAATTACAATAAGCCGGCCTTATTGCTAAAAGCAATCTTTTCTAGGCAACGTTAGTGAAACTGATTTAAATAGTACACAGGTAAGTAATATTAATTACTTATATTGGTAAGTTGTTTTTAAGAATTAAATAAAATTTGAAATAAATCGTTTAGTTTTTTTTTACTTAGACTGATGAAACGCCATGCGTTTTTAAGAAGAAAAATATAAAAGTATCTGTCTATTAAATAATCATCAAAATAAAACTATGTGTAATAAATTTACTAGCTTTTACCCGCGGCTTCGCTCGCGTTAATTTATCTCCTTAGGGGTAGAATTTATGAAAATCCTTTCTTAGGGGATGCCTACGTCATAGTAGCTTTATGCATGCAAAGTCTCAGTCCGTTTGATTTAAAATTGACAAAGTTTCTTACAAACTTTCATCCCCTATTTTATCCCCTTAGGGATAGAATTAATCAAAATCCTTTCTTAGCGGATGCCTACGTCATAACATCTACCTGCATGCCAAATTTCAGTCCGATCCGTCCAGTGGTTTGGGCTGTGCGTTGATAGATCACTATGTCAGTCAGTAACCTGTCATTGGCCATATGAAATTGTTATATTGACATAACAATTTCATATGGTCAATGAAAATCGCTGTTTTCGCGGCCACACAACAGTCGCGTGAGCTTTCAAGTGGTGAGGTCAGCCGACGTCACGTCACGTCACGTCACGACACGATACGACACGACGAGCGAACTTTAGCGTTCTCTCAGCAATTGAATTACATGCGACGAAGGTTGAAGTCGTTACAGATTGTTACGACCCTAAATTGTTGGTGTGAGCCACTGTAGCTTGTAATTGTTGAAGTTCCTCTTGTAATTAGATAAGCTTCAATTCAAATTCAAATTGTTTTATTGTTTCACAGATATTGTTGTATTTTTTGTTGTATTGTTATACAGATGTTAGGTAGATATAATAAATTTATAACACAATCCTTGCAAAGGAGCTACAATATTGTTTATTGACATAAACGAAATACGTACCTAATGGTACTAGCTGACCCGCTTAGCGTTAGCTTCACACATACTTGACATCTATACATATAAATAAAATTGGAATGTCTGTTTGTAATATTGAACTAACCGTTTTTTTATACATGCATATAAATGTAAATATGGGCCATACACTAAAATAACATTTTTTACAATTTTTGTCTGTATGACTGTCAGTTTATTCCGGCTAGTCTTAGTAACTTAGGTTACTTTTATTTAAAAAAACTAAAGGTAAATTTCACGCGGACTGAGTCGCGGGTACAGCTAGTATATAATATATATATATATATATATATATATATATATATATATATATATATATATGTATGTCAGTCAATATTCTCTCGCTATAGAATTTCACAGCTACAAGTACGATCCAGTAGGTCATTTACATAACATCAGAGTCAACAAATTAAACTTGTCATCAGTAATTGCTGTAATAAACCATTGGTTAAATGGCTTTGGACAGAAATATCTTGAGTATGAATTGGAATTTAACGTATTTACACACAGACGACACTGCGACATAATTATCTGTATATCTATAGTTTTTGTGTGATCCCCGCGTCTCTACGGTGCCGACACACGGTATGCACTCTCCCACTTATTTAAAACTAGCTACCCACCCTGACTTCGCACGGGTGTACACTTATCATTACATAGTATACAACAAAGTCGCAGTCACTGTCTGTCCCTATGTAGGTTTAAATCTTTAAAACTACGCAACGGATTTTGAAGCGGTTTTTTAATAGATAGAGTGATTCAACAGGAAGGTTTATATGTATAACTAGCTACTCGCCCTCGCGGTTAGCTAGTTATACATATACATCTGGTATTATAGTGACAAAAAACGATTCAAAATCCGTTTAGTTTTATACTTTGTTTTTTTATACTCTGCCACAACGGTACCACAAAACTTTCTGTTTATACCCTAATGGGTAAGCGTTGTGGGGTACTATGTGGCTGGGAGAGAATTCCATACTGCATTAAGCTCGTCTGTTGTACAAAAGTTTTTGTTCAATAAAAAAAATATAATCATGCTGTTCAGCTTTCGCCTCATCTTATTCATTAATCAAATCACTATTGACAATCAGATTCGAACCTGCGGTCCCGAGGAGTGATTGATGCTGATAATCACAACATCCGACAGTCGTAATGCGTGCAGTGCGCGCAAATTATAACAGCGGATGCTGTTGACACGCTCTCGATGTATTTAGATTAAGGACGTTCTCACACATGTCAATAGCGGTTATAAATGACTTCACGACTGTTATCTTGGATGGGATTGTCAGAGACATCGTTGACTGTCGAATGAAGAACATTTGATATCAGGGTTGCCAACTTTAATACACTCAAATTTAAAGCCTCGTATGAATAAATAGAATATCTTATACAATTTTAAATACTAAAAATGTCACAAATTTCGAACAAAATGTTCGTAGATCATATCAATATCGAACAAACTTATACGAGAATGTAATATTTGTATTTTCGTCCGCTGGCGTCCCTGTTTGACATACCCTTGGTAGATTTTATATAATACATGCAGTAGTTATATATACATATATATTGAATAGATAAATAAATATGTTACTTATATTATATTACACAAAAGTCTTTCAATCAACACTTTTTTATCCTTATATATTTTTCTTCTATTTATCACACATACTTATAATTCATCCATTTAACTGATTCTTCATTTTATATATTTAAATTCATCACGAATGCTATTTATTTTTTTCAAGTGGCTCCACTGAAAATCAGCGCTGCAGTGACACGCTGCGGCACCAGCTGAGTGGAGGCCCTTTCAGCTCATAGCGAAATATTAGTTTTTATGTTTTCTTTTTTACTCTGTACTATGATGCTGAATAAATGATTATTATTAATTTTTTTTTTTTCCTCTCGACTTTCTCCGGTAATCTTGGTATGTACGGACCTAAGCCAAGTACACAACAATGTTCTATTTTTAGGTGAATATACTATACATGTAATATTATGTTATCTGTGCTATAATATAAATGTTGGCCTAATCTGTTTGTAGAAATTTTCTAACAATGCGGCATGTGTTTAGAACTACAGCCTTCTGTAGTTGAGAGGACGATTGGGACTAAAGTTACTTTTTGTAATTTATAAATATAAAGATAATAATAACCGTGGCTACCCAGTTAAGTGTAGTCAGTTATTGCTACTAAACAACTGATATAAATATAAATACTTAGAGATACATATTTTTTTTGTCAATATATATATAAAACACACACAGCACATATAACGCAAACCGATTCAAACAATCATATTTATGAATGTTTGCACCGTAAGAGGAATCGAACCCACGACCATCAGAAGCTAAAGCGGTTCGTCAATTTTTAATCCAATGTAACAGAGAGCGGATCTACCGACGTATATCGGATTATATGTCGATGTGTTTGGATTAAAAACGTTCTCTCACAAGTCGATACTGTATAATTATGTTTATTACGAGGACGACCTCCACGCGCTCTCTAAATTTATGTGAACGCGTCCTCACGACGTGCAGTGTTATTAAGGTAATGCTCGCTAACTACATGGTCACAGGTTCATCGAGGTACACCTTGTCTCAGTAACAAGACTACGATGAGAGACGAGTTGTGACTTGGACCTTAGAGCGCACGCACACAGAGAGCGGCCAGAGTTCTGCGTTCTAGTGACCGTTGACCACCCAAGAGATCCAACGCGTTTCTAATTTAATTGAATTTTCTTTGACTTTTAAAAAAAATCCATCACCGACCATCAGAACGTACCTAATTTACGTACGGGAATTGTGTTCTTTATCATCATCAAAATCGTTGGTACTTCTACTTCTATCTTATTTATTTCTGCCGACAAACAGTATGGTCTGCTAGCTGAATTTCAGTTAGAAGGATGAAAAACGGCATGGCAGTGTAATTAAAGGGCAGATCACGGCGTGCTTGTACTATCTCGTGGAAGTTATTTTACGTTACCTTAGTCCCGAGGTATGGCTACAAATGCACACTGCACAAGGATATTAACATCTATAAATACCGGTTACTGTTTTGAATGGGTGGGCTAGTTTGTTTGTTAATTACAGAAAATTTAAAATAAAACATTAAAAGTACGTACCTCATCTTGAAACGTGCGATGCAGCGTCTCCTTGGTGTACCTCTCGTCGCTCTGCTTCAGTATAGCAGAGCACTGCTTGAGGAGCGACAGCCTCGTCTTCTCCTTAGCGCACTCCTCCTCCATGAAGGACTTCCTCGGCTCTCCTCTCGCCACCACCAGCAGATCCTTTGACGACTCCACTTTGATCCCGTTCTCATTTTGTTTACTTAAACTCTCGTTACCACCGTTCAGTGTATCTTTGCCGCTATCCATATCTGTCACTACGACATTATCTGAATGCTTCTCATCTGTACATTCGTTGATTTGGTCCAGTTTCGTTTTATTGTCTCCATTCAGTATGGGCACGTTATCACCTTGTGTCGCCATTTTGTTTTCACTTTTAACGTGTTCCCATCACCATGTTTGTTTGTATCACTCACCGAGTACTATTTTGACGTTACTCATTACAAATGATCATAATATTATATTATAAAATTGATGAAATTGACTGCAGTGTATCTAAAAACAGATTTAGTTGCTACACAGATATTTAATGTCGAGGTGGTCGATCAATCTTCTTAAATTGTTTATAATGAGATGGCGGGCTTGATTTCTATTTAATAAATGTAATCTGAGCGTTGAAAATGTGATGCTGGTGCCTTCTATGTACGTATGTACTACACTACAGTTTCGTTTAATATTTTAGTAATTGCTTTTATTATTAATACTAGCTGTTCCCCGACTTCGTCCGCATGGAATTTAACTTTAATTTACTAAAATAAAAGTGTAGTCCTTACTACATTAGCTACCTGCCAAAAAAATCCCGTCAAAATCGGACCAGCCATTTCAGAGATTAACTGGAACAAACAGACCGACAGACAAACAGACTAAAATTGTAAAAAATGTTATTTTGGTGTATGTATCGTATTTATATTCATATGCATATAGTTATAAATAGTTATTTCAATATTACAAACAGACACTCCAATTTTATTTACATGTATAGATAATAAGATCTTAGAACAATTCACAGAGCGTTATTTAGTCCCACGCAAAGCAAAATGTTATGGGTATTAGACAACTGATATCAATAATAGTAATAATAATCTCAGGACATTTCACACAGCGCCATCTAGACCCAAGTTAAGCTAGCTGAAGGTTGTGTTGTGGGTACTAGATAAATGATATTATACAAATACATATTATACATAGAAAACACCCAGACAGATACAAACATTCATACTCATGAATACAAATGTTTGTGCCGTGCGAGGAATCGAACCCGCGACCATTGGACGTAAAGCGGTGACCACTAGACCACCTAGGTCATCACACAAATATAAATATATAGATATATTTAATAAAGTTAAGTAAAAATACAAGTATAATATACATTTTAATCACTAAACGATTATTTGAATGACGAGTGTGCATAACCTACATAATAACAATGTCGATCATGTAAAAATACGGATGTTTTTCCGATCGATCCCGTCCAGTTTTTTTCAAACGGGGATCAATACAACAGACCGCCTGATCCTAAAAGGTTATGAATCTAGTGGTGTATCCATTATTATTATTTGACCTTATAAAAGTCGTATCCGTTGGCTGGGAGTTGGCCTTCAGCCGCTCCATAAAACAAAGTCTGTCCTTTGGTTTGGATGTGCCATCTAAAACTCTCCTATCGTCCGGTGAATCTGAGGAAGATTTATATGTATAATACAGCTGCGGCCAACAGCATTAGAGTAGTCCGAAAAAAAGGAATATTTGACATATTATCATAGTGTGTAATAGACCTACATGAATAAAGATATTTTGAATTTGAATCATTCAACACATAGTGTTAGACTAAACTACAAAACTAAGACGACCGAAATGTTTTTGCGAGCGCGAATCGTGTCTAGTTTTTTTTATTGAGGAAAACAACAGACCGCCAATCCTAAAAGTTTTATGTATCTAGTATGTATCTCATTATTATTATTTGACCTTATAATTATTATTTTTTGTGTATAACTTGTTTTTGCCTGCCAGTTACTACTTACTTGTTAGGTTTCCTAGCATCGCGCATCATTACATAGTATAAAACAAAGTCTGTCGCTGTCTGTCCGTCCCTATGTATGCTGAAATCTTTAAAACTACGCAACGGATTTTGAAGCGGTTTTTTTTAGTTTAGTATAGTAGATAGAGTGATTCTAGAGGAAGGTTTATATATAAAATACATGTACAACCGGGTGAAGCCGGGGCGAGTAGCTGGTATATAATCATTGCGTGTTCTTTCTATAATATTCATTTATCATGTATAAAATTATGATTTTGTATCCCTTAATTATGTTAATATAAAAATAAATGTTACCGTATGTATGTGTGTATGTAACAATTCGTGTATTTGTGTGAAAACACGTTATAATTATAACAAGTTTACGAATAACTAATAGCTAACCAAATTCCCAAATGGTTGATAATGAATTATGTAAAATCGAGTTACCTATATATGGTGAGAGTGAGGTATTAATCACGAACTCGTTACGGGCCCATACAACTGGTATTTACCACTATAACATAATTTCACTCGACGGAAAACGTTTCACAGTGTCGTGGCAATTAATTCTATACATCTATGTCCCCCCCCCCCTTCCCCCCTCTGATCGGTCCCCCGTCCGATTCGAACGCGGGTCGAAATTACGACGGCCTGAGCCGAGGTTCGAACCCCTCGCGGTGCCCTCAGTTTAAAGTCGTATTCGTCAGGCGGGAGTTGTCCTTCAGCCGCTCCATAAGTCCTTCCTTTGGTTTGGAGTGCCATCTGCACTCTCCTATCGTCCGGTGAAGCTGTAAAGGCCAGCTACGGCCAACAGCATTAGAGTAGTCCGAAAAAAAAACATCTATGTGTCATATAATTGAGAAATCTGCAATAGAGTCAATAAATTGGCGAAATGTTGTTTAACTAGAAATTAACAAGGTTATTAGTAATAACAAAACGTCGCGTTGTGTAACGAAAATACATACAAATTGATGGTTTGGATGTCTAGCGGTTCAGCATGCCATACTTCCGTTGGTCGCGGGTTCGATTCCTCGCACGATAGAAACATTTGTATTCATGATTATGATTGTTTGTATCGGTCTGGATGTTTCCTATGTATAATATGTATGTATTTACGAAAAAATAAATTATCTATGTACTTGTATCAGTTATCTAGTACCCGTAACACAAGCTTTAGATAGCTTAGCGTGAATTGTCCTGAGATTATTATTTTTTTTTTTTTCCAAATATTCTCATCTCCCCTCTTAAAGGAGAGGAGATGGCAACATATCCCCGGCAGAAGCACAGTCGGCCGGGGTTCAGGGCCCCAGGGACAGAAACCGGCGTACAATCGTCTGAGATGTTGTTCCAGACTGGTTGGGATAAGACCGTTCACCGACATAACGAATGGAATGATTTCGGGGGATATCACCCCCACATTTCGGTCACCTCGTGAGCCATGTCGAGATATTTTCTCTTTTCTCAGTTTGTTCCACGAGGTTCTCGTTGTGGTATGGTGATGACCGTTCACCGATCCATCACCACGATATTAGGTTTGTTCGCAAGAACATCACCTGTCCGTGATGATGGATCGGTCCCAGTAGAGCTTGACGCTGTCGCTTATTATTATTATTATTCTTTATTTTTTCTCAGCTTTCTGGTTTTTTCACGGGCCGTTCTCGTGCAGAGTGTGTGTATGTGTGTGCGCGCGTGTATGTATGCGAATGAGTGTGTGTGTACTTATTGTGTGCCTGGTGTGACTGGTGTTATATCATTTTCATCGATTTCGAGAAATTTATTATTTATTATTATTATTGTTATATCTTATATTTATATTAGATCTAAACTACTCCAAAGACAAACATTATTGATTTTAACATTTATCCACAAATTTACAAATCAATATAAAATGTTTTGATTCAAATTCCCATAAAATACTTAAATTAAGTTTCTTTGAATGTATTTCCTTCAGCAAGACTTGTCTTCCAGTCACATTATTGTCACATTCCGTAAAAAAAAGTCAATTAGGTATTAGTATTAATACTTTCATTAAACAGCAATTTTATCGAATTAAGTATTAAATGGTAAATGAGTAGTTTAGTATTTAGAGACTATTAAATACCTGTTAGTGTTGGTATTGCCGACGTCGCGGCGTCGAGCGGAATGATAACGTTGACATGCGCATACGCATCAATCAATCCACATTTATTGTATTGAGAAAACCCCGAGTGTTATACGGATTTTCCTTGGATTTTTATGTAGAGGCTAGCTGTATCCGCGACTTCAACTTTGAATTTAACTTTATTTTAATAATATATTTTTTATAAAATAAAAGTAGCCTAAGATACTTTTTATTATATCAGTTAGCTACCAATGAAAAATCGTCAAAATCAATAAAAATAGCCTAATTTACTCCTTATAAACCAGTTACCTGCCAAAAATGCAAATTCATATGCATGTAGTAAAAAACGGTTATTTTAATATTACAAACAGATACTCCAATTTTATTTATATATATAAAATAGGGTTTTATATCAGTTGTCCAGTACCCCTATGGGTACTGGACAACTGATATGTTATCACAAGCTCTGCTTAGCTTGGGACTAGATGGCGCTGTTAATGTCCTAATAAGTTCTAATAAATGAAGACAAATCATAATCATCACTAGTATTACTCTCTCTGGTAAATTGCCAAGTTTATGTGTGTGTGTGAGACAGACAGACAAAAATTGTGAAAATGTTATTTTGGTGTATGTACCGTATTCATATTCATATGAATGTAGTAAAAAACGGTTATTTTAATATTACAAACAGACACTCCAATTTTATTTATATGTATAGATAGAGACATAAAAATAAAAACCGAATATGTTTTGTAACGTACTAATAATTTTAATTTAAAATTATGACTTTGATAATTTAGCTATTTAGCACCGTTTGATATTTCCGATGATCCAGCGGTTCATTTCCGTACAATAGAAACAGAATCATGATTATTTGTGTTTGTATTGGTCTGGATTGGATGATATTAACAAACAAATAACATTTACTATATCTACCTAGTACTCCAACTATAGTACCAACTCAGATTGGCCTTGATAGCACTGTGTCGGTTGGCGATGATTTAAATTTTAAGCAATTTCTTACAGATTATATTTAGAAAATAAAGAAAAAAAGATATTTATGTATTTAACTAATTGACGACCTCGGTGTTCTAGCGGTCTAGCACACCGCTTTACGATCGATGGTCGCGGGTTCGATTCCTCGCACGGCACAAACATTTGTATTCATGAGTATGATTGTTTGTATCGGTCTGGGTGTATTTACAAAAAAAATATCTATGTATTTGTATCAGTTGTCTAGTACCCATAACACAAGCTTTAGCTAGCTTAACTTGGGTCTACATGGCGCTGTGTGAATTTTCCTGAGATTATATATATATATATATATAAGTGTGTGTAAAGATATCACTACAGTATAGAGAATAAGTCGGCGCACCCGTG